GGAGCACGCTGCCGCTAAGCTCTGAGATGGGTGTGGCTGTCAGGGACGGGCGCGACCTGTGCGGTGGGGCCGCGGCGGGGACGGAGCCCGACCTAACCGGGGAACTTGGCCAGCTGGTGCCGAGCCTGCACCAGCCGCCTGTGCTGCTCCTTCAGGAACTTCCTCTTGTCACAGGTGTCACTGCGTTCCTTCAGGAGCCAGTCGTACTGCTCCTTGTCCTGCAGCAGCTGGAGCATGGCCTTCTGCAGCTGTTGGCCGAATGACTGAAGGACGAAGAACTGGATCGTCAAGGGGATGTGGGTGGACAGGCGGTTGCCGGTCTCCTGGAAGGAGCAGTTCACAAAAGGGTTGGGACATTGCGACGTGGAGACTCCCAGGAGGGACTCGGACCCGGCCTCAAGCCCGTCAGCGTCCCCCGCACACCGGTACGCAGTGTGGGGCGCACCCTGCTGGGCGTCGGGGCTCCGGCTGGACAGCCAGCACGTCCTGACGGCGCAATGGTCGCTTCCGACGCACGGGGGTAGAATGCGCTTCGGGAAGGTGAATGGACAGCACAAAACCTACACTTTCGAATCACTGACACCTCCGCTGAAAAGATTTCACGACTTTTTAAAAAGTCAGCACTAAGATTATTTGGCGGAACGGAGGCCGTCGGCCGAGCGCCCCAGGAGGGAGCCCCCGGCGTTCCGTGCCGGGCGAAAGGGGGCTTCGGCCCTTCCTTCTCCGTCCCCAGCCCCACCTGCCAGCGCAAGGGTTCTCCCTCGGAGGTAGGTGACCGCTCAGGACGCCGACACGCGCTCGCCCTCAGCGAGTTCTGGGACCGATCTGAGCCTTGGTTTCCTTCTCTATAAAATATTAGCGCCTGGCCTCGTGGGACAGTTAAGGAGCTGGACTGAGCTAAAAGATAAACGTTTTGCAAGATGCCAGGCACACGAGAAGCACTCAGTGAGCGTTAACCCGGAGGACAGCGACGTAAAGATGGCACGCACGCCACGCGTCCCAGGAGGAGAGTGAGCTGAGGGGGTGGCCTGGCCCCACATGGACATGGAGGAGAGGTGAGAAGGGACGGGCTGATAGGGGGCATCCAAGAGGGGCGCTGAGGGCCACGAGCACTGGACTCTGACGTGGGAGGGTGGACGCAGCCGAGAGGGGCGGCTGGAATCTGGGCTGACAAAACCAGGTGCCCGAAGTGCCTTTCGAGACTTTCCTCATGAACATGGCTGCAAGAGTCACTTTCTCATCCTCCTGGAGATTGTCCAAAACATCAACAGCTTTGGTGGCAGAAGGAGACAGGTGACGGACCACGTGTAGCCAAAGCAGCGGCCGTCGGGCAGAGGTGCATGGGAGCAAGGCCCGGAGGAATGGGGACAGGGAGCAGCATGTGACGGGCAGGGTGAGGGGGCTCCTTTCCCGGAGGCCGTCTAACTGGGGAGCGAGGCCGGTGGCAGAAGTCCCTTCCGACGGGGTTGCTTTTGGGGCCACACAGAGACCCTCACAGGTGGGCCATGTCTGATGAGACCCACTCTGCTAGCTGAGAAGACATTTCTGTGTGGCAAAAATCGGATCCCCTGGGATTTCCCCAGTGCTCACAGAGACACTGTGAAAATCAGTGACCCAGGGAAGTCCGATTCATTTAACAACACGTGCGCTTGGGGCAGTGGTGGCTCCAAACATGTCCTCCGCCCGATGACGGGGTCTGCGAACGTGTCCCTCACCCCCCAGCCCCTCTCTGCAAAGGGCAGAGGTCGCAGGAGGAATATCGGTGCCCAATCAGCTGACGTGATGATGGGGGGCCATCCTAAATTATCTGGAGGGCCCCACACAAAGGAGGTGGGGAGAGCCAGAGGGAGGCGTGACTCCAGAAGGAGGGAGAGACGCCACAGCGCTGGCCGTGAGGGCGGAGCAGGGACCACGGGCAGGGAATGCGGGCTCTGCCAGAAGCCAGCCAAGGCAAAGAACAGGTGCACCCCAAGGGCCTCGAGAAGAAACTCAGCCCTGCTGACACCCCGCTTTGAGCCGGCGAGGATCACACACCACGGAGAGTTAAAGTCGAAGACGAGACAGGCTGCCCGTCAGCTTCCCTGTGGTTTCGGGAGGCACTAATGGGACCCGTGGAGGCAGAAAGAGGGAGCTGAGGTTTTGCGATTGGAACGGGGAGGGGAGCGGTCGTTGGGAAAACTCTAAAACCACGACAGACAGTAAGGGAATCAGTATGAATATGGGTGTGGAAAATACACAGAAAGCACATCCGCCACCAAAAAATGAAAGTATAATGGAATAAGAGACCCACTTACGATAGGGGCAAAGGTGAGGGAAACCCGTGGGAATAGACTGCAGAAAGGCGCGACCTACGTGAAGAGAACTTTAAAACACTCCCGAGGCCCCCAGAGTTGATCTTAGAAACGGAAAGGCCCGTGGTGGTCTCGGGCAGGGAGATTTACCGTCACGAAGATGCCAACGCTTCCCCCCGCAGACCTGCAGAGGGAATGTGCTCCCAGTGAGAACACGAACCCTTCCCCTTTTTTCAGAAGGAACTGGACACGCCGATTCTAAAATCCATACGGAAACGGGAACAGATAAGGATGGGCAGGAAATTTCTGCACGGGAGGAAGTGACGGGTCGCCCGCATCCGCAGCGGCGCCTTCACAGCGGCCCGTGCGGTAGGACCAACGCGACTCGACGTCCGCGGATGGAAAAGTGGGTAAAGACAGTGTGCTCCCTAGATGCCACGGATTAGCGCTCTGCTTGAAGCAAAAAGGAAGTTGTGGCACATGCGACAACAGGGACGAACCCTGAGAATATTACGTGACGTCAAACGTGCCAGGCTCAAAAGGACAAATATATTACGAAGCCACTGAATGAGCTACGTAGAGCGGGAGGATTCACGGAGACAGGAAGTGGAAAGGGGGCGGGCAGGGAGGAGGGTGGAGAATTAGTGTGTCGTGGGTGCGGAGTTTCTCTTTGAGGAGATGCACGGTGGCGATGGCTGAACGAGCATGTGAATGCACCTCGTGCCCCTGAACCGTACACTTAAAAATGGTTGAAATGGTCAATGTCGTGATGTATATTTTACCACGATATAAAAAAGGGAAGTAGGGGCGCAGGAGGGGATTACTAAGTAGATACTTAAACACTGCATGAAGATCAACCAACGACGTCCTATTGACACTGGTATGTGAAGCGCAAACCAGTAGAACAGAATTCAGGATCTAGAAAAAGACCAGAATACGTAGGAGAAGAGACAGTGTGAAAGGGGCTGTCGTGCACCAGCACAGACAAGAAGGAGTCTCCGGTGATGGTACCAGCTGTTAGCCGCCCGGAGCCTGGTTCTTGACATCAAATAATTCCGAAGGGATCAAAGGTTTAAGCATAATACTCGAAATAAGTGACTTGGAGAGAACACCGTAGACTTGGTTTATACATATCTCACAGACAAAGTCCTTTCAAAGTCTGTCGAAAAGCACAGAAGCCCCCAAAGAAACGACTCGTAAACTGAACCCACAAATCTAGAAAACTTCGGCATCGTCTCAAACCACCATGCACAGAGCCACGAGGCGGATGACAAACGTCCGAGCAAATCTGCATCGCAGACCTCCAAGGGCAAACACCGCAGCCTAGAAAGGGCTCCGACTGGATGGACAGTTTACTGCACCGGAAATAGAAATAGTTCCCACGCTATGAAAACCTGTCTACGCCATCACGACAAGAGAGATGCGAATTAAAACTACAATGAGAGACTACTTTTCACCTACCCGACTGTCAAAAAAACCAACAACTTTAGCGCAGACTAAACCGGCAAGCACGGGAAGAAACAGGCTTTCCATAGGTAATATAACATAATCGAAGAATCGATATAAAACAAGCACTATCCTTGCCCCAGGTGTGAAGGTCACTTTCATGTGTCGGTGTGGCCAGGTGATAGGACCCAGTTATTCAATCAAACACCAATCGAAGTGCCGCTGCGAGGTATTCTGTAGAGGTGGTGAACATCTTCGATCAGGTGACTAACTGAAAGAGGTTATCGTTGATGATGTGGGTGGGCCTCACCCAATCAGGCGAAGGACTTAAGAGCAAACTAGAAAGAAACCCTGCCTGTGGACAGCACCTTCCCCTGCAGCCCAAGAATCCCCAGCCTGCCTTTCTTGGCGGTCTTCCTATGGATGTTGCACTTGATTGGCCAGTCCCCACAATCCATTAGCCAGCTCCTTGAAATAAATGTCTTTATGCACATCTACCCTCTGGGTTCCTGGTACGACCCTGTTTAAGAGACCAGGAATCTCACTTCTAGCAACTTGTCCTCTAGATGTATGACTCACGAACGAGGCTACTCACTGCAACTCCACTGTGTGAGCAAAAGGCTGGAAAGAAACGGTGCCCGTTATTAGGGAAACGGGCTCCGTATGCTATATCCATACAACGAGATATTCAGCCGCCCTGGAAAAGAGCAAGGTGGCTCCGTGCGAGCTGAAGTGGACCCCTCTGCAAGGTGCAGTAAAGGGCACACGGTGCGGGCTGGCACAGGCACTCTGCAGCCTCGGTGCCAAACACGCTTTAAAAAATTATATATAATACTTGATATTATATATGTATATATATATATATATGCTTTCCCTCAGAGGATATCGACAAACCGGAGGACCGCTTCTGGGGAGGGGGCTGCACGGCTCAGGGCGGTGTGGGTGGGAGCCCCATCTTCCACTGCCACTCATCTTCCGTTTTGGATTCTGTGCGTGCGCGTGCGCCACCTGCTCTAACAGGTTCTGCGAGGCAGGTGAGCAGACAGGTGGCGAGCTTGGCTGCAGGAGCGGCCAAGGTGCGCAGGTGTCCTTCCGTCTTGCCCTTCCCTGGCTTCTCTCATGCGTGTGCCCGCCCCAGTGCGGGTGGGAAACAGAGGTCGACCCTTGGTTTGGGGCCTCGTTGCTCAGAGCCTGGTGGCATTCCCTTGGGAGCCCACTTAGTAGCGCAGGACCTTGGCCCCAACTCAGACCCACAACCCACCTCGGCATGTCAACAAGACCCAAGGAGGTGCAGATTAAGAAACACTGTCACGAGCATGTGAACAGTGAAGTGCGGGAGATACTTGGTAAACCAGGAGTTTACTATTTGCTTCACCTGTCCAGATTCTCACACGTCCCAACGGCTCGGAGGTGTGCTCACCTGAGCTGCGTAGCCTTCCCACCCTTCGTGTGATTTGCTGCATGGAGTAGGAACACAGCATGCGTCTCTGAGCAGCTCCTGTCCCACGAGCTGCTGTTGCACTGAGGGATCTACCCACACTCCACTCACTGGACACGCACTAGACACCGACGAGGAAGTGCCATTTGCAAGGAAGCAAGCTGAGGCTCAGAGAGGTGAAGACACTTGGCCAGGGCCACACAGCCAGTCAAGACCGGATAAGCGTGGCTCTAAGCCACAGCCTCTTCTCGTCAATTGAAGGATGGCTTGTTTCTACAGAGGCTTGTCGCCTTATGGAGACAATGAGACTAAAGAAAGAAGAATTAAGAAGAAGAAGCAACATGAAAACCACCTTTCCGAGGCATGCGCAGACTTACCTGGTGGTAGGCTATCAGGTGTTGAAAGATTTCATCTAGGGAGTTATACGAAGAACTCTCTTCGCAGATCGCCCGACCTAATGTTCTCTTCCTTTCTTCTTCCTTCTCTTTTTCCTTCTCCCTGATTTTCCGTAACGATCTCTGATACATCGTGTCTTGGCAGTACACGATCTGCTCCATTTGGAAGTGTAGTCGGATGGACTTCTCAGCTTCTCTTTCTTGTTCGGTTTTAATGTCTTCGATTTTGGACTATCACACAAGAGACACCCAGTGAGATTCCGCTCAGGAGGTGAGAAGCTGGGAAAGTCACACACCAAGCCCACGACGAGCGGCTTCTCCAGCTCGAACTAAAACAGCACCCTGCTTTGGAGCAGCTTCTGCGCCCCACCTTGGTCTGTCTAAGATGGGGTTCCCAGCAGACGGTCAGAACCTTCTGGGGAGCCTGAGCCACACGTGTGACCAGACCCTTCACCCCTGGGAACCCACAGGCTCTGTTCGAAGCCCTGAGGACTCAGCTTCCTCCCTTCCTCTTTCTCATCTGACGGGGGGTGGGGGGTGGAGGGGAATTTAACTGTCAAATTCTCTATCCTTATGTTCCTGGGATTTAGAGAAACTGGCTACCAGAAGGCCAGGGTGGAGATGGGTGACACTGAAATCACCTGGCCCCTTGGTCCCCCTGGAGTGTGAGAGGCACTGATACTGCCAGGTGCGTCCTCGACACTTTCTTCCGCGTGCATGACAACTTTCTGAGGAAGCTGTTCTCAGCTGTGTTTTGTGAGTGAGAAGCTGGAGGCCCAGGCAGCTCAAGTGGCCCTCCCTAAGGCCCCCGGCTTGTGCCCGGCAGAGGTGGCCTTCCCGTCTGTGCCGGGTGCTAGGACTGAATGCTGTGGCCCCCTGAAATTCGTATGCTGCAGGCCCAACCCCAGTGCGATGGCATTAGGAGGTGCTGCCTTTGGGAGGTCTAGGTCATGAGGGTGGGGCCCTCAGAGTGGGGTCAGTGCCCTTGTGAGAAGAGGACCCTAGTGGCCCGCCAGACCCCCATTGCTTTTAACCAGACTTCGGTGGTAAAACCATTGGCAAGACTCACAAGTAGGCTTCGCTATTTGCTTCTCCAAATACACAATCAATTGCAATGGTCTTCATACAAGCCATCTACTTTCTAGCGTCAGGATTATTATTATTTTTGGGTAACAAACGGTCGGTTTTACCTTGGAGACTTTGTAGAGGTTGAAAAATTCACTGTAATTTTTCTGGGAAACTTCTGTGAAGGCGAGCCAAACCATTTCTGATGGAAGAAGACAAAAAAGTCCAGTTTTGGTAGAAACATCGTCTTTAGACTGATTGCCTAAAATAAGAGGATGGAAGGAAAAAAGTGCCGCCCCCCCCTTCCCTAAACGAGGAATGTGAGCTTTTTCGCTTGACGATTCTCCAGAAGAATTTTAAAACCTAAACGTCCCCTGGCATATTTATTTGACATTTACGGTTTTCATCCTAAGTATATAAATAGTTGCAAAGAATGTAATTTCTTGTAAGTTATAAATATATCGATATTTTATAGTAAAACATCATATCACCCTTTTAAATAGGGCAACAGAATCGAAATGTCTACACGATCTATTTGAAAAGAAATACATGAACAAGCTCTTATTTAAATCAGAAAATTTACAATAGCTCTTTTTATTTTCACAACGTATATATCTATTTGGCTCCCTCACAGAATTTTTTCCTAATATGATGGACGGTATCTTTATGCTTGAAAATCTTTACGGACTCCATATCATATCTTTCTGAAACAGAAGTTTATATATCTCTATATATTTTCGAATTATTTCTATGACTATCAGGCTCTGAGTACTACGCATTTTCTCCAGGAGTGGGTTGAGGGCACAGCTGACCAACGCCAACACGATGACAGATTTTGGTCTATAATTATCAAGCCTAAAGTTAAAATGTGAGTAGAAATACATCCTTTCATGAGCTTTAGGAGGCCACCTCCGACCCGTACTGGTTCGCGGACCCACGAATGGTCATCGCGCATTGCCAGGCTGAGACGGTTAACCGGAGTGCGAATGGTGTCGGCCAAGGAGCAGACAGAGAGAAGAGAGGCAAGAATGCCCCAGAAACCAAGGGGCAAAGCGTGTGAAGGAGAGAGCGGTCGGCACCACGAAATGTCGCATTTGCCTCCACAGGCTGCTGACAGTTTCCTGTGTACACACGACAAAGGTTATACCGCCTGAAGAATGCTCCCAACACTCCCATGATGTAGAATTAATATTCTTTTGTTTTTAAAGTAAATTGAGATATATTTATTGACCACATAATTCATATGTGAACCACCATGAGGTCCTGGAGCATCTATAAATAAGATAGATGGCTTCACACTTAGTCAATCAAATCTCTAGACTATAGGGCCAAAGAACATAGCAATTTGGACAAGATGTTTACGAAAGGTTGTGTGTAATTAATTTTCCTGAGTATATTTGTGTCTAGGGATTTTTTGTTGTTGTTGTTGTTGCCGTAGAATTAGTTAGTCGTCGACCCTACTGCTCAGAGATGTCAAATAGGGAGAGCAATGTGAGGCCGAAGTAACCCTCGCATTGGGGCGGGGTCGAGGTGCCGAGCTGTGAATGTGGATTTGGTCTTTGTCCCCCGTTCTTGACACCCAGCTCCTGGCTCCCTCACAGTTTCCTGGGTAATGAGAGCAATTCTTATTCTAATGAGTGGACTCTGGGTGGCCCTGGGTGGCTTTGGAATGGGGGCTGGGCACCAGAAGGACCAAGCCTGGAACTTTCAGCCCAAGCTTCTGTCACTGTCCACCTTCCAGAGAGAGGACGAGGAAGACGATGGAGAGTGAGTTAGTAATCGATTCTGCCTACGTGATCATCGATTCTACCTCCATCAAAGCCCCCAAGTGACAGGTTCGGATTGCCGCCAGGTTGGCGAACACGAACACGTGCCAAGGGCGGTGGACCCCCAAGTCCGTGGGAGCCACACTTGGGACCCTCCCAGACCTGGCCCTATGTACCTCTTTCATTTGCATCTTTTCTAGTATCCCTTACGACGAACTGGCGAAGGTAAGCGGGTTCTTTACAACGAGCTAGTCAAGGAAAACGGAGTGTGTTCCCAAGTCCCGTGAGCTGTCCTCGGAAGTTACCGTCCCTGAGGGGGGAGCTGCGGGAACTCTGCCTCAGAGATGGCTCGTCAGAAGGACAGGAAGCACCGGGCTCACAACCGCCACCCGCCGAGTGGTAACCCGTGGGACCAAGCCCGCAAGCTGTGGGGCTTATGCCAACCCGGGGCAGGTAGTGTCGGAATCGAGTTGAATGACTGAATATCCAGCTGGTGTCTGGAGAGTCAGAGAACTGTCTGGGATGCTGGTGCTGGAAACGCACCAGGAGGGGAGCTCTGAAGCCAGGCGCTAGCTTTGGGGCGACCCTTTCGCTGCCCTGGAAGTGACCCCGAGCACTCACGAGTTACGGTGTGCAGCATATCCACAGCGGGCTCTTCCAGAGTTTTGATTTGCTGTTTTATGATATTCTCAAATGTCTTGTAGTTCACAAATCCTGGCAGCTCTCTGCCACGATACTGATTTTCAAATTTGCAGATCTCGTTGTATACAGCATCATAACCTACAGTGGGAAAGACAGACTGCATTATTTTACGACGATGACCCCGCGAGTTTTTCTAAACACGACGAACACCATTGTGCACTTCCCGAGAGCGCAGAGGGGCGAGGAGGAACCAGCAGGTGCGATGTGCAGATCAAACAGTACTCGGGGATGACAGCGGAGAAACAGATCTCTGGGGGCGTGTCCCCGTCCGCTCGAGGTGGCAGATGCAGAGCCTGCCGTGGGACCGGAGAGCGGCGAACTCAGACACGGTCCGGAAAAGCTACTTGCCTATGAAATTCTGTGATTTCCATTCGATCTTTACCGAAGAAACTGTACCCTGATAGCATAGGATGACCTGCAGGTCTTTGAAAAGTAGGACTGACCACGGATGCCGTCGGAATCGGCTACACGTCACTTATCCGTGGGCCGTGGCACAAGCAGGCAGTATTTGTAGACCAGATGGGATAACAGAGTAACTGGGCGGGTCAGACCCGGTTGACGTCATGTGGTGTCGGTGTTTATGAAAACCGCTTCGTTTTTTCTTTATATTTTTGGTATCCTTTTCACGCTCAACACGCTAGACCGTGTAGAAACACCCCCATCGGAGAGAAGGGGACATCGCGAGGACTCTGGTCTCTCTTTCTGAAGAACTAACCGGGGGTGGCAGGCTGGGTCAGGAGATATTTCCTCATAGGAATTTTTTTTTTTAATTGAGATATAATCCGCGTACTACAGAATTCGCCCTATCTGAGTGTACGATTCACTGGTTTTTGCATAGTTACAAAATTGTGCCACCATCACACATCGAATTCCCAAACGTCCCCATCACCCCAAGGAGCCCCGCACCCACCAGCGCCACTCCCCACCCCTCCCCCGTCAGCTCCCCGAAAGCACCGACCTACTTCCCGTCTCTGTGGATTTGCCTGTTCTGGACATTTTGTATAAACGGGATCATACAACACGTGGTCCGTATCTCATTTTTCACTTGGCACGTCTTCAAGCTTCATCCACGCTGTAGTACGTGTCGGTACTTCAAGCCTTTCTACGGCTGAAGAACATTCCATTTACGGCGTTATGGGTTGAACTGCGTCTCTCTAAAATTCACATGTTGAAGTCCTCACCCCTAACACCTTAGATGTGACCGTCTTTGGAGGTAGGGCCTTTAAAGAGGGGGTTAAGTTGAAATAAGGTCACTAGGGTGGGCCCCGCTCCAGTATGACTGCTACCTTTGTAAAAAGAACACAGAACAGACACACAGAAGGACGAGCACGTGGGGACCCAGGGAGAAGACCGCCACCCGCAAGCCAAGAAGACAGTCCTCATGAGACACCGACCCCGCTGACACCTTAATCTCGGACTTTTAGCCCCTAGAACTGTTAAATACGCGGTCTATGGTGCTTCATGATGGCGGCCGGAGGGAGCGGATATGCCTACCATATTCTTTATCCATTCATCAGTTGAGGGACATTTGGGTTGTTTCTGCTTTTTTTTTTGGCTATTATGAATTATTCTGCCAAGGACGTTCAGACTCAGACTTTTACGTGAGCGTATGTTTTCTTTCTCTGGGGTATGTACCCGCGAGAGGAATGGCTGGGTCACGTGGTCACTTTTGAGGACGTGCCAGAATGTTTCCCAAAGCATCTTTCTACACGTTCTCCAGCAATGTATGAGGGCTCCGATTTCTCCAGATTCTTGTCAACATTTCTCGTTCTCCGTCTTTTTGATGGCGTCCATCCCAGTAGGTGTGACATGGGATCTCTGTGTGGGTCGGATCTGCATTTCTCTGCCAGCTAAAGACATTGAACTTCTCTTATGTGCTTACATAAGAGAAGGCCCCCCAGATGCCTTATGTTTGGAGACGCGTCTGTTCTGCTCCTTTGTCCATCTTTAAGTTATGAGAATGCTCCCTATATTCTGGATACTAGACCCTTATCAGATCTATGACTTCTAAGTATTTCCCCCCGTTCTGCGGGGTATCTTTCTACTTTCTTGATAGTGTCCTTGGATGCGCAAAATTTTGCGTTTTGATGAAGTCCGATGTATTATTTTTTTTTCCTTTGCTGCTTGTGCTTTAGATGTCCTATCTCAAAAAAAGCCATTGCCTTGTCTAAGGTCACGAAGATTTCTCAAAGCCAACGAGAACTGACCATTTGAACCTCTGGGCAGCTACCAGGAACTGGGGAACCCCACCGAGTTGCTCAAATAAAAGCAAACCCGCATGGCCTTTCCCTCAGCCGCTACAGCTTTGTCATTGGTCAATACGCGATTTCCTTGAAGTTCCTTGAAATAGTAAAAAAAACACGTCAGACCGCATTTTCTACTTTGCTCAGGCTCTTGCAGAGTCGATGACGCAAAGCGGGCAGCCGGCACTGTGGTATTTTCTTTCTGCTGCCGCGGCTATAAAATCCGCTCAGAGGCGTGTCAGGCTTCAAGGACTCAGCCAGTTACCAAGATCGAGCTGGATCCTTTCAGCAGTGACACAGAGAGCGTGACACCCATGTCGCGCCAACCCGCTCATTAACGAAGGACGGCTGATTCGTCTAGAAGCCTCTCTCGGCGTCCTTTGACATCAGCGCCCACTGGCCTGAGGTCAGTGACATGGAACAGAGCAAACGTGGCTCTCGCGTCGCCCCCTCTGGACTGCCACCGCCCTCACCTGCTGCAGCACCCTCGTCCGCCTCCCCCGTCCGCCGCCTCAGCCCCCAGTGCCGGGTTCAGGATGGCGCCCTGCGCTCACCGTCCTGGAAGTTGTTTTCAATCACTTTACTCCAGTTGTTGAATTCTTTTCGGATTTTGGTAAACAGCCGAGTGTTGCTCTTCTCCACGATTTCCTCCCCTTGGATTAAAGTGAGGATGCCCTGATTAAATGCATTAAGTTTCTGTCGAGAAGGAAAACACAAGTGTAAGCAGAGATATTTCAAATACGGGTGTCGACGTGGCTTGGAGGTCGCGTGTGTGCTGAGGGCGGGTGAGTCATTCTTTGCCGCCTATGGGCCAGGACGATGGGAAACAGGAAGCTGGGTCGCCGGAGCACCCCACTGCCCCCTTACGGCCTCCCGGGTCTTGGGTGAGTCACGTGATGAAGAACCCACGCGCGATGTGCCCATTCAGCACGCTGGCTCCACCCTCCACGCCCCGCCCCTCCCCGCCCACGTGCCCTCGACCCCGGCCCCTTTCTGGTGCTCAGGGGACAGAGCGAGACAGACGGGACAGACGGGCATAAGGCACGCGGCCCCTCGCACACCGTCGGTGGGCGGTTCTTCAGCTCGACCCGACAGGCAACACTCACATCTATCAGAAAGAACATTTTTTCGTTTTCTTCTTCCGGCGTCTCCATGCCATACATCTGCAACTCCTCTGTGATACTCTGCTGTTTCTCCTTTATTTCATTTTCTAACTGGGGCAGAGATTTCTGAGGAAATAGAAAATAAGCAAAATACATAAATTTGAACAGGGAATAAGAAGGTGCTGGCCTCTTTCTGCAAGGTGCAGGGAAGCTCTGCACCACGTGAGACTTCCTGGCTCCCTCTGCAAAGATTTTCCAGGAGATGGGACACCGTTTGCCACCCAGGACATTCAGCCTCAGAGCCATGCTTAGGAGGCCACTTTGCCTGGATCCTGAGCCCCGGGAAAAGCAACGCGAAGAACAGTTTCTGTGATCATGTGACGTGAACTCTGCAGAGAGGTTAGAAAGTCGCTTGTCTAGTGGGTCCTGAAGAAGTGACCACTGGAACAATCTGAGATTCAACAACGGTTGTGTTGTTGTTCAGAGATCTTGAAAAGTTATCTGGGACTTCTGGTTCTGGTAATAGGGCTGACTGCTTATGTCGGCTCGCCCTTCCACAGCAAAGGCATAAAAAACGCTGGCGGAAATATCACAAGCGCCGCTTCAAATGCGTCAGCGAGCTGTCAGCTACAAAACTGACATGCGGAAGCCAAAGCCAAGGGACAGCAGACGCCCGGGGATGTGAGATGGAGGCTGAAGTGAAGCTGGCTTTGGCGTCAAGGGCGTCTGTAGAAGAGAAAACTTGAACTCTAGCTTCAGAGTCTGGCTTGGTGCTGGAGCAAAGGATAAATCCTTGGCCCCAGCGGGGAATCTAACAGACAAACACCTTCTTTCTGCATGAAGCTGGGACTCCAACTGCTTGGCTTCTATCGTAACGGTCAGCTCGGCACGACCCTGCCCGCCAGAGCATCCCTGGGGACTGTGTGCAGTGCCTGGACCCTGGTGCCGATGTGAGTGTGAGGGCGGGGAATTCCACGAGCCAGCCCTCACACGGTTTCGCTGCCCAAATTCTCACTCATTGAGGGGTCCTGCAAAACCTGAAGCTGAGAAGCTAAAGTGGTTCAAGCCGGGGGCCCTTCCAGGCGTCTGGCAGAAGCTAACACTGCCCTTCCCTGGAGAAACACAATTTAAACTCAGGCTTCCATAAAAACCCACGGATCAAGCTCCAAGAAAGAGGCTCACAGCCGAAACTCCCAACTCAACTCATTGTGGGTGACAGCTGGTCGGACCCAGCACACCAGGCTCCATCACTGGAATCGTCAAGTGCAAGCACAGCAGAAATATGCGCACATAAACCTTTCGAAAGGATCGAAAACGTGAAAAAGCAGAGACTGTCCGAGTAGATTGGAAAAGAACCACAGCGAAGTTTAAGAAATGAAAAATACAGGATCATAACAATGACCGAGACGTGAGGATAGCGGTTGGCAATGAGAAAGGAAGACTTAGGGAGCGCTCAGAAGATTTTAATTTTCGAGAAAGCCAAGTGGAGTCGGTCTATCGGTATCCCACTCGACGTGCGGTCCCCTGACAAGCGCCCTCTGGAAGCGGAGACTTCCACACGCCAGACCCACTGAACCTGAGCCTGCTTGCTCACGGCATCCCCAGGGGGCCCGTGTGCCCGCATCAGCTGTTGCCATGGTGCGGCTTTGCCTTTTAGGATTCTCCCCCGAGATCGGGCGGCTACGTGTGCTTACGCAGATGTGTGCGATGAGCTCGGTGGTCAGTCTCTCTGCTAGGCAGGGGATCGTGGCCTTTCCTTCGTCCAGGAGGTTCCTGCAACAGAAGACAACAGCACGTCCATCTCCGCGAAGCCACAGAACGCCAGTCAGCTTCGCGCTGCTGGGGTCATCGAGGCAAATGCAGGAACTTCCGGCTGGATGGGATGTTCTGAGCCAGTACCCACCAGCGTTCAGACTTGGATCTTGCATTTGAGTAGCTTTGGATGGTTCCAGATACAGAGCTGGGTTCACACTCTCCCCCCAGAGAGCAGAAGCCGTGACTGGGAGGGAGGAAGCCAAGCTGTCTTCTCACTCGACCCAAATCTGTGTTCACGGGGTGAGTTATGACAGGGTCTCAACATGTTAAAGGACTTTTTAGGATAAAAGCCTGGGAAGCGTGAGCTGACATGCCTATTTGCGACAGGACACGCACATCTAAGTCAGTTTCCGCACCCGTCAACGTGTCTAATTGTTATACAATAGACATCACGTAAAATTTAGCATTTTAAGCATTTTTAGGGTTCAGTGGCGTTAAGCACGTTCGCATCATTCTGCGGCCGTCACCACCAGCCACCTCCAGAACATTTTCATCTTCCCCAACTGAAACTCTGTCCCCATTCAACACTCGCTCCCTATTCCCCCTCCCCCAGCTCCTGGCACCCACCCTTCTACATTCTGTCCCTATGAATCTGACTCCTTTAGGGACCTCGTATAAGTGGAATCACACAGTACGGTCTTTTTGTGACCGGCTTATGTCACCGAGCGTAATGGCCTCGAAGTTCATCCATGTGGCAGCCGGCGTCAGAATGTCCTTCCTTCTTCAGGCTGATACTCCATCGCATGGATGGACCACATGTTGCTTTTCCATCCATCTATCGATGGGCACTTGCGTATAGCACTGCAGTACCCGGCAGTGTGCAAGCAACAGTTCATACACCTGTCAACTCCGAATAAGCTTCTCCACAGCCCTCTGACAGAACTGGCTGTGCTGATGCTAACAGCATCCCTGGGGCTCTGCCCACACAAGCGCGCACGCACACGCGCACACACACACACACACACACACACACACACACACACACGTGCACGTACGGGGCCTCCCTTCACAGCTCACAGAGCATCTCATTGGCACTCTAATGGCTGCAAACACCGTGAGCGCTTACTCTGGTTTACACAATTACAAATACACAATTATAAGCAGATCCGTGCCGAACATCCTCCAGCAGATGTCACCGTACACACCTCTGATTACTTGTGTGGGTGCAGCTCCCCGAGCTGGAACTCTGCACCCTGGGGACGCACCTGTGCTGAGACCTGCTGGCCCAGTACCGGGGCACCGAGCAGAGGCTGTACCAGCACGCCTCCCGGCACAGGCGCAGCGAAGTTCATCCATGTGGCAGCCGGCGTCAGAATGTCCTTCCTTCTTCAGGCTGATACTCCATCGCATGGATGGACCACATGTTGCTTTTCCATCCATCTATCGATGGGCACTTGCGTATAGCACTGCAGTACCCGGCAGTGTGCAAGCAACAGTTCATACACCTGTCAACTCCGAATAAGCTTCTCCACAGCCCTCTGACAGAACTGGCTGTGCTGATGCTAACAGCATCCCTGGGGCTCTGCCCACACAAGCGCGCACGCACACACACACACACACACACACACACACACACACACGTGTGCACGTACGGGGCCTCCCTTCACAGCTCACAGAGCATCTCATTGGCACTCTAATGGCTGCAAACACCGTGAGCGCTTACTCTGGTTTACACAATTACAAATACACAATTATAAGCAGATCCGTGCCGAACATCCTCCAGCAGACGTCACCGTACACACCTCTGATTACTTGTGTGGGTGCAGCTCCCCGAGCTGGAACTCTGCACCCTGGGGACGCACCTGTGCTGAGACCTGCTGGCCCAGTACCGGGGCACCGAGCAGAGGCTGTACCAGCACGCCTCCCGGCACAGGCGAAGAGCCAGCCTCCTCCCTTCCCGCCAACTCTGCACCTGCTCTTTATTTTAAAGCCAACCAATTTATCAGTCTTTTCTTTTTTTAAAAAAAATGTCACCTTTGGCTCTAAGGTTAGAGAGATCTTTATCCCGGGATGATAAATGCTCCACCCACTTTTCCTTGTGGGATGCTTGTGGCTTCTTCTCTGTATTTAATTTTAAACTTCCACTGATATTTATTTTGGTGTAATGTGTTAAGAAAAGGCACAATTTAACTTTTTCTCCTCATTTTTTCTCCCCTCCTTCTTCTCCTCAATAATTTCCTCAATGCCACTGATTGAGAATCGAACTGATATAGCCCCTGGATTTGAAATGCTACATTTATCACCAATCCAATATATGTATCTGGGTCTATTTCTGGGTTTTCTACACTTTTCTCATTCTGTCACATTTACGTTTTTATTATGGTTCTGGCACCATAGTATTTAAATTATTAGAGCAGGTCCCCTCCTTAATTTGATCTTTTAAAATTTTTCGCCATAATCGTGAACTCCTCTTTTATTCTTCCAGGCAAATTCTGTGGCACCGTCAGGGAGCAAACACATCACACGTGTACCCCAATATCTGCAACAGTCTTCCCCGGGCAGGCTGGAAGTCCTTAGTTTGCCTTTGACCTTGGAAAAGCGGAGCTGGGCGTACCTGAAATGCGGATGGTCCTCGAAGAAGGCCTTCTCTTTCTGCAGAGCCTCGGTCAAGCTCAGCTGCTCCTGGATGTCCTGCTGGCCCCTGCACTTGACGATCATGTAGCCCTTCTTCAGGTGGCAGACCAGGTTCCGCACCACGTCGACAACCTTGTTTTCGGTGCCTTTGTCCACCAGGTCGGGCTTCGTCAGGATTCCTGCGGACCACGGCCTTTCACTTGGAGAACGCACATGGCCTCGCCGGAGCGAGAAATGAGGGACGGCCCATCCCTCGGCAATCCCCGGCCACCGGCTTGCCCCTACCCTTGCCTGAGGGCAGATAGTAGGGCTCGTAGAACCCCAGGTGGAAGGCATAGAAGTTTCCATCTTCCCGACTGACACTCTGTCCCCATTAAAGAGTAACTCCCCATCTCCGTGCCAGGCCCCTGGCACCACCACCCGACTTCGTGCATATGAATCTGACTGCTGTAGGGAGGGACCTCGTATAAGTGAAATCGTGCCGTGTTTGTTTTTCTCGTATCTGATTTATTCCACTTAGTGTAATGTCTTCAAAGTTCATCTACGTTGTGGCACGTGGCACAGTGTCCTTCATCTCTTTCCGCCTCGAATGCATTGCTAACTGTTTTCCGGTTTTGCTCTGCCCCCCGAACCCACCATGCCTTTCCTAATCAGGTAGACAAAGGTTACGGGCCAACTTGTGGCCAACAAGAGTCAACGTGACCCACATCATTGGGACTCAGCGGGCACCAAACCTGGCACCTTATCAGTTCTCGTCTGCTGGGTGCAGGCCCCTCGCCCTGTGTGTGTGCCAAGGAACAGCCATTTGGATTCAAGAGACATTTTCCCACTGTCTAACCACCTGCCGTTTTCGGGGTTTCCCCTCTTCTTACCTATGGTCCTGTCTCCGTCGGGGTCTACCTCCTGAGCCATGCTCAAGGCCTCCGTGGTGGCGATGTCCACGTTACTGGGCACCACCACCAAGTTGATCGTCTGCTGCTTAAGGATGTACTTCTTGATGAGTCTCTTGATCTGTAAAAAAAACGAGCGGGTGTGAGAGTTAGAAAGATCGTGACCTTGCACTTGCTCAGGTTCAGAGTCTTCGGGGCAGGCCCCGCAGAAGTAAGCCTGCAGAAGGAAGCCTGGTGGCACTTTCCAAGACAGAGTCATGAGTAGCCGAGTTCCCCATGAGAAAACAGCCCTGCGGTCAGGGAAAACCATGAGGTTTTCACTCACTCGTATTTCCTGAAACCTTAAACTTGAAGGTCACAATGAAAAACAAGATGCCACAAGAATAGCTTGACTGGTCCCTGAACCTTTAACCCATCGATTGAGTCGCCGATATGAAAGTAACATTATGTCGTTTCTAATGCTCTGAGCTCTCGCCACAAGTTCCTAATAGACTTCCTAATACAAAATGTGACAATAACCAAAGATGAGTCACCGTATAAAACACAGAGCGTACAAAACGTATTTCTGATTTTGCCTGTTTGCCTCCCTCTCTCCAGAGACGTCTCCGGCTGACTCGGAGGAGATTGCAACCACCATGCTCTCCAAATTTCCCACTCACGCTTCTTATATATCCACCCTTCAAACTCAGCCCTGAATTCATTTGTGCCCTAATGCAGCCCCCATGTCCCACCCATCCCCCCAGACCAAGGGCAGGATGGAGCCGAAGTTTCACCTGAAACCCAATGTCAGCTGGCTGATTGCCCAGGGCCACCCTGGTGATGCCGGGGAGGTCGATGAGGGTCAGGTCTGGGACGTGAGGGGAGCTGACCTCCAGGTTGATCAGCTCATGGCTGATGTCCATTCCTACCCCAGCAATGACATCCTGGGCTACAGAAGAGGGAACAAAAGAGAAAACAATTAGCACTTCGGATAAAAGTGTCTCGTTCTGATAAATCCTCTGAAAGTGAAACCGACCAGCCACTTTTGTAACTCCAGAATGATCCGAGCTTAATTATGTGGCATGCTGGGAAGAAATGAAAGTCGATAACGAGAAATTATTTATTCGTCTCAAACACGCTTCGTAGCCACTGCCACTCCTTGGTCTTTATGTACTTCAGATGTTATTTTTCCCTTTGGATGTTTCAGATCAATCCGATGATCTCTGTGGTTTGCAGTTAGTGAGATCTGCCATGAATTAGCCGAAGCAAGGATTATGTAAACACATCCATTCTGCTTCTGGAGGAAAAGCTCCCGCCACCCCCACCCCCACCCCTCCAATTCCTCTTCCATCAGGATAAGGATGGCCTCGAATAGGAAACAGATGCTTGATACTTGAAGACAAGCTTTCGATTTTAAAATTCGCGTCATTCTCAGATACGTGTATACTAAGCAGTAAATGATCGAGGTCAGATTCTGCCCGAAAGCACTGGTCTTGATGAGAAAAGAGAGAATGCAGGCAGCCGGGGTCTGATGTGTAGGTGGGGAGGGGGGGCGGGGCGGGGATGACGGATGGAGGGATGGGGGATGGAGCAAGGGGAGGGGCTGGTTTTCAAGGGCCAAGCCCAGAAAAGAGTAAGAGGAAACCATGCCAGGCCGACCCCAACCACTTCACACAGTTCATCAGACCTCCAAACGGGCGAAGACAATGGACACGGGTGTTTACCTTTCCTGATTTCCTCTTCCACCTCCGAAGCATCTGACATCTCAATCTCCTGGTCCTTGTAACTGACTTTGCCTTTCCATTCGTCCCCGTCCCTCAGTTTTCTCAGCTTCAGCACCAGAGGACACCTCGTCACGATACCTAGGAGGCCACGTCCACGTCAGTGCTACACTCTGCTCTTACAAGTCCCAGATGGTGGCCTTAGACCAATGGTTCTCAAAACTCGATACAATCGGGGAGACCACACAGACTGCAGGAGTTCCGGCCTCGCCCGCGGATGTTCTGATGCATCGTGAATATGCGTCTGAGCCGCTTTGGGGCTCCCTAACGTTTGCAAGCCACCATTTTAAGCTTCTCACTTCATGCCAGTGTTCCGCTATCAGCTCAGGAGGTAAACAGCAACGAGAAAACCCCAAACTTGTACAAACATTCTCCACGTTCCCCTCGCGGTCAACCCCCCGCCGCCAGGAAGGCACACTGCCCCTGCCAGGCCACCTTCCTGCAAGCTCCTTCTCGGTCACACCCATCTTCCACCTCCAACACCCATTTCAAGGCCCATCCAGGTCTGTCCACTTCCTGCGAGCCCTCACTGATATCCTTGGCCTTGTAGCTCAAACAGGGCCACCAGCCAATCTTTACCTCCTAAGCTCTCGGGAAGGGGGCTCAGAAAAGATACCCACGTGCACGTGCTTCCGAGCTAGAGACCCAAATGCATTGACTCCAGACCTTCCACAAACTGCAGGTTACACACAGCCCACACGGAAGCATGTGAAGAGAGGGTGTTATGGACTGAATTGTGTCCCCATCAAAATGGATATGTTGCAGTCCTAGCCCCCAGTGTGACTGCATTTGGAGGCAGAGCCTTTGAAAGAGGTAACTAAGATTAAATGAGGTCACAGGGTGGGCCCTGACCAATGTGGCTGGTGTCCTTATAAAAAGAAGACACCAGATGTGAGCTCATCCAGAAAAGGCCGTGTGAGGACACGGCGAGAGGCTGGCCATCTGCACAAGAAGGGAGGCCTCGGGAGAGTCAGACCCTGCTGACTTCTAGCCTCCAGATCTGTGAGAAATAAAGCTCTGCTGCTTAAGCCACCGGTCTGTGGTCTTTCGTTATGGCGGCCGAGCTGATAGCCCAGGGCCCGGGTGCTTACCGCTGCCTCTGGGCAGGGCGACGCCCGACAGGGCCTCCAGCACGGAGCTCTTGCCCGAGCTCTGGTCCCCGATGACCGCGATGGCGGGCAGGGCCAGGTCCTGCTCCACGCCCAGGGCCCGCAGAGAGTCGATGAGGTCGATGCAGGGGCGGATTTTCTCCTCGTAGTAGCTGCACAGGCTGCTCTCGGTGCCCTGGAGGAGGCAGAATCGGAGAGTTCTGTCGTGGCCTTTAGGTCACGTTCCATCCGAAAGGGACAGCGTCGACTGGTCTCGGACAGGTTGTCGTGAAGAGGATTTTCACTCAAAAGACTAACCATAGAACCAGCTCTTGGCTCTGCTTCTGTAGACGTGCCTGCCGCAGAGGCCGTGGGGCAGGGTGACCTCGAAATTAACTAAAGACTCATTCTCCCTTTTGCTTGTTCTGTCTAATCAGCAAATGCACCTGCCTGTAACCCATAGCAACGCCTGCGCTTTGTAACCATCTGAGGACAAATGAACTAATCGGCCCATGCCAACTCAGCTCTATATAAGCAAAGTCGCATCTGAGCTCGGGGTCCAGATCTTCAGAGCACTAGCTCCTCTGGGACCGCTGGCATAATAAACCTGAGTTCTCCGACTCTCCCAGTGCCGCTTGGTTTCTGCCCCGCCCCGCCGTCTGATTTTTGCAACATTTCTGCAACGATTGGATCATACAGCTAAAAGTGTCAGCTTTCAGATCAAATTCAGGTTGCATAGATTCTAGAAGCCAAGTTTGGTTCCCACCAAAAATATGTCTGGATTCTGGGAAAAAGAAAGACCATGTGGCTTCTCTGTGAGGGAATGTCATGACAACATTCAGAGGGTTGCAGCTTGGGACTGAACCGTGACCTGGGCATGTGGTAACAGGGCTCCGCGGGCCAAGGGCCCAGGCCAATACCTACGGGAGCCGATCAGCATCTTGCTTGGTTTTCCAGGCCAAAGTCGCACACCAAGCAGCATCAGCTAAGGCAAACCGTCTCCATTCAGCTGAAAGAAGGACTCGGGCCGCAGATTCTGCATCGCCATCTTGCCTCAGGTGGGGCGAGACAGCAGGCCTTCAAATGGACACAGCTCACAGACACATGGATACTGATTTTCAGGCAACAACTTACTTTTTCCAGATTCTCCTCAGACACCTTAGCATCTGGTAACCGAGGACTGGACGCAGAGGCCGAATTATGATTTTTGACTTTCACTTTAAGAGGACTCCTCTTCACTGTAGGAGGATTCATCTTCTTCCCTTATCGGTTCAGCTGAAAACCAAGCAGACCAGGGTCAACACAGGTTGGAACCGGGTACATCCAATCATGGACAAACCTACCACTCTTTACTAACTGAAAAAGAAATGACAGGAGGACCCAAGGGAGCAAATCTCAAATGAAGATGAAGGCTGGATCCCGGCTCGGCAGAACTCACGAGCATGCTTCCAGAACCCAGCAGATTGTTTCAACTAGGTATTTCCTGTCGCGATTTCAGGTGCAACATCAAAAATTTTTCCATCATAAATTTAGCAGCGAAAAATGAAATATCTGATGCATTTTTTTAAAAAATAATTTTTAAGAATAAAATTATCAGAGGATGTTTTCCAATATAGCCAAGGGAATCTAAATACTATGGTAATTTAATATCCAAACCTATAGTTTAAAAAAATGTAGGAACACCAAGTCGTTTACTCTGCTCCTTTTGATCCTCGATTTCCTATTTTCATTCCATTTCCCCCGCGTAAGTTTATCTAAATGTCATTTACTTTATTTTTGAAAGTATTTAATTGACCGCTTTGTCATACTTGTCAGCATCAAAAAATATGTATGCATTATTTCAAATTCATGAAAAATTGTTTCTGGGACCGCAAGTCTAATAGTCTTGGATAAAAGTAAATAACAATGTTTCTCCTATGATTTAAAAGAAATGCTATAAAAACATTTAAGGCACCTATATACCTCTAATACACCTTCTTTTTACTTGACGATGTAACGCTGATGAGTTGGATGGAAATGCAGAGCTGTTCTCTTACGCTTCCTTGAAACAAAGTAAAACATACAAATTAGACCAAAACCCGGGCAAATAACCGAGAGCGCTCACCCAGCTGCTGACCACGGTGCACGCACGGAGTGCACGGGGGACCTCCTGCTTCCAAGCCCATTCATAGTTCCCAGAATCCTGCTTGTCGATCTTGCGTATTTTAATTTTAAGACAGATTTGGATAAGGCAGAGAGTCTCGCTGTAAATTTACTGCCTGGCTTAACAGCTTTTTCTGATGCTCTGCGCTTCCTTTTGATAGACCTCGTCTAAGAGTTTCATAGTCTTTCTCAATACGCAGTCGAAAGGACTAGGTAAAAAAAGCAAAAAGTTGCAGAGGTGCGTGCCTTTCTTTGTAAAGTAGGAGGAAGGTCATTTTGAAAGGCAATGTTTTAAAGAGTACTGTTTGGAATTCGGCAATCTGGAAATTTATTCCCTAACCCCCAACCCCCACTTTTCTCCTTTGTCCAAAATGTCATAGGTACCCAATGTTGCCGTGCTGGCTGGAATTTGCATGTTTATGGGAATTACCCATGCACATGTACTAAAAATTTGATTTTCTCCTGTTAATCCGTCTGTTAATTTGATTATTAGCCCAGCTAGAACAACTTAGAGGGTGGAAGAAAAAGTATGTTTTTCTAGCCCCCACACCCAACATAATTTTAAAGATCATCTCGTGGGACTTACATTTAGTTTTTCTCTTGAAAGTGTTTTCCTTTCCAAAAGCCCAGACCTTTAAATGTTTGATGACTAAAAGGAAGAACGTCTGCACTCAGCCCTAATGCTCTCTGCCTGCCACGCTGAGCTAAGTGTTGGGAGGGAAGCCAGGAAGGAATGGGGGGAGTGTCACCTCAGGAGGAGTGGGGGAACTTCCTGGCCAGCACCTGTGCTCTAAAGTAGAAAGGTGACAAGGCTAGACATTTCAGGCGCCCTTTGGGACTGACGACTTGATCCTGTTTCCAACAAAACTTGACTATGAATCCGACCAAATGATTCTGAGAATCCCACGCGCACAGCTCGGGTCTCAGCGGCTACTGGCTTCCTTCCGTCAGCCCCCAAGGACTGTTCTGCCTCCTCCCATCCCCGCAGACGACTAGGGACCCAGGAGGCTGAGCCAGCCCCATTCAGTGGCACCCTGCTGCTCAAGCTGGGGGCGCGGGGGAGTCGCGGACACTCCCCTGTGCCCTGGTGTGGGGTACGCCGCGCAGGGCACTCCTGCGCATGCCTCGTCTCCCCCACCAGGAAGCTCTGCCCACTCGGGTACCCAGAGCTTTCTCTTGGATCCGACCGCCTGGTATTCTGCACGATCAGTGAAGACCGTTTGTCCTCCAAGGAACCCTGCGGACTGTTGACTGGTCCGGTTTGCAATCAGTTAGGATATCGAAACTGATATAAAGCGACGGTCAGCGTTTGGGGTGGGCTCGAGAACCACGCAGCAGTGGACGAGAAACTTTCTCAGAGCTCACCCCTTAACCAGCTTCCTCGGAGAGCCCCTTGGCTCCCATCCCCAACACCTTCCTGCCTCCTCAAGCAGTGAAGACGCCCGTTTGTGATGAGCCACCCGGGGGAGGGGGGGCCTCCGCAGCCTGTGGGTCTGCAGTAGAATCTGCGCCCAGCCACGAAATCGTCATTCTTTTTATTGCTATTATTATTATTTACTATGACTAGCCCCGAAATGCCCACACCCCGAGCACCCGTCTCTGCAGCCAGCTGCCCAGACGGCCCCGTCCGATCCTCCCGCGGCTGGACGGCGCGCGGACCCGGGAGCGCGACACTCACCTGTCTCCTGCCAGCACCCCGCCGCCGCGCGCCGTCGCCGGCTTTATGCCGCGCCTGGCCCCGCCCCGCCTTCTGCCTGCGGCCGCCGGGAAATGAAACTCATAGGAGACAGATGGGCCAGGCTCAGGGGCCGCAGAAACGAAACCGAATTCTCCGCCTGCGCTCTGGTGCGCCCCGCGGAGCTGCGGCCTGCCCGAGACACCCCGAGGGCGCGCCGCTCCCAGATCACCCGCATCCCACGAGGCTTTCGGGAAGGGCAGATTCTCCGACCCTACTCCAGACCTGCTGAGTCCGAAACCGCCCGCGGCGCTGGGCGGGGCCACCGGGATTCTGGTGGTTCCGGTGCCAGGCTGAGCACCGCTGCTCCCAAAGCCTCGAGTCATCCTTCCAAAGCTGAAGGATGCCGGGAGCTCGGGGGCGCTTCAGCCTGGTCCCCCGAACAGATGCAACGACAACCACCGGGGGTCTTGAATTCTTGCTGGAGGTTCACTGGGGTCATTCAAGCACCAGCAAAGATTCTTATGTTATTAACATTCTTATGTTAATTGCAGCTCCCCATCTCCCGCTACCCGTGCGGACCCACATCGGCCTCCTCCTCGCCCAGTTCTCCTTGTCCATCGCAAGCCTCCCTGGCTCATATAACTTCTCTGGGGGTGGAAATGAGTGGAAGGTGGGGGCCGAGGTCATAGGGACCCAAGAAGAGCCTTCCCTGTGGGGACTCTGAGCCTGGGTAACACTTCCCTTTGGCAGGGCGCACGATGTCTATATTCTCCTCAGCTCAGCTCAGAGTGCTCGACGACACCTCCCCCCCTCCCAAAAGATCTCTGTGATAAGGAAGGGTTGCCCTCGCCCCACTCAAAAGCCCCAAACCGCGCCCAGCTCCAGGACTTGGGGGTCGGGAAAAGCCTGGATGGGACCAAATTCAACATGGCCTCTCTCAGGAGAGTGGGAGACAGTCCCACAGCACAGCCCCCGCACCTCCCCTGGAGGTCTGCCTTGCTCTGCAGGTCCGTTGCTGGGGTCTGGGCAAACCCATGCGGGATGGCCTGAAGGGAGAGCACACGCTGGCCCAGTAAGAAATGAAATCTTTGTTGGACCACTCACCTGTGGGGAGTGGGGGGTTAAAAAAGTAAATAATATACTTCTCTGAGGGGGATAAAAAAAATTGATGTTTCCTTCCACCGTCTAAATTCTTCTCGCTGGACTAATAATCGAAATACCAGAGACGGAGTCACAGGAGAAAATCAAATTCCAGAACACGCGCCCGGCGATTTCACACGAGCGTGGACAGTCCAGGCAGGGAGGCGACGTTGGTACATGTGACATTTTGGACAAAGGAGAAAAGAGGGAGGGGCGGGGCCTTAGATTCTCACTTAGAAGTGAGAATGGGTGACTCAGGGTCAGTCGTCCGGGGGAAGAGAGAACACACAGGGCAGGGACGTTCTTGCCCGGCGACCCAGGAACGGTGGGACGTGGGACGTGGGGTTCGCAGCCGACCGGCCCCTGCGGAGCCCTCCCGTTCGCCACACTGAATTCAGAGCTGTTCGGGCTCAGGCGCGCAGCCTCAGAGACCCGTCCTGAGCAGGGTTTTCTGTCTGAATCTCTTGGGCGGGAAAGGAGGGCGGGTCAGAGGTTCTTTCTGAATCTTTTGTTTCCTAATTAACAAGCTTAAAATCAATACCCCCAAAGCGGCTTCAGGGTGCCCAACCTGTGATCCCCTCTACGCCCTCAGGGTTACTTCCTAGTTATAAAGAAGGGGGAAGCCGTTTCCTGGGGGGCAGGGAGCAGGCTGGACTAGGGCTTTCCGAAAGAGTAAAAGCGCTCGCTGCCCAAATCCAGGGAGAGGTGTGAGCAAGGCAGGCAGGACCCAAGACTTCACTCGGGGTACTGGAGTGTGGCGCTGCTTCGCCAGACTGCAGGAGGCTCTCCCCAACGATTCAGACCTAGCCGCAGCCGGCCCAGAGCCAGGCCCAGGAGAAGGTGAGCGAGGTGCCCAGGCACCAAATCCAAGGAACCACCCACTCCCAGCAGATGCAAGTGCCCCGGGCACTTCCCACACCCGATAGCCCGTTCCCAGGCCTTGGGCACCTCACCATTTTTAACGGCTCATGCTCATGACGTGGTAGTGCCCTAAACAGCCCCGGGGCTTGTCTGGGATGTAATTCAGTAATAATGAAGTCATAGCTCTCACACACTGAACCATCATGTGTCTTAGGTACCGGCCGGAGAGAATAACTCATCTTCTCAACCACTCTAGGAGGGCAGGGAGACTATCAAGCCATTTTACAGATGGGGAGACTGAGGCCGAGGAGTTAGGCTGCTGCTGGGTCCCTTCAGGGAGAGCCGTGATGGTAATCTAGGTTTTTATCCCAAGCCCTTGTGGCACCTCCTGGTGCTGAAACTGACAGGATGCGTGCCTGTCCTCAGGAATCTTCCATGCGCGATGCTGCTGATCCCTTCTTTGTCAAAGAAACATTGGTTGCTCTATGTTCTCAAACAACTTTCACAGAATCGACACCCCTCTTACCATCGCTATCCCACTTCTGCTGGCCAGTCTTTTCCCCACGGACTCCCGGAGACATCAGGCTGCCCTGCGAAGTCCCAACTCCGATGTCCCTGTCTATGCAGCTGCCCCTGGGAGCTCCTTTCAAGCCTGGATCAGGCCTCTCCCGCCCCCCGCCCCCAGCTTAGCTCAGGCTAAGATGTAGTTCCTTTCAGATGGACCTTCTGAAGAGTGGGGTGTGTGGCTACCTCCTTGATGAGCTGGCACCTCCCCAAAGGCAAGGTTGAGGTCTTAGCAACCTTATGTCCTTCCAGTGCCCACCACTTACCAACCGCAGGTGCTCATTAAGCATGGGTTGAATTTACCTGCACCGAGGTGCCCAGCACAGCCCCGTCCTGCCCTCCTTAATTTGTCTCCTGTCTCCATTAAAATGGATCCGGCAAACACACAGCATCCATAGGGAAGCATATTAGTGGCCGAGCAGCCACACTGACCCCGGCTCCTTCTGTCTGCGCAGTCACAGGGCCCAGGGGTCTCCAGGTCTCTCTGGTCCTTGTCCAGCCCTCTTGTCACCTGCCTGGCCTGGCCTAGACTTGATAAGGAGACCGGAGCTGGCATTAATGGAAAGCAATGGGGGGGGGCAGCTTCCAGGCCTCGCTCCCTACCTCCAAAACCGGCCGTTTCCTCAAATATCTGTGGGAAGAGGGCTGCAGCCGATTTAAACGCTACAGGGCCGAGCGTTCCAAACTGCTCAGCGTGGTGCGCAAGTCCGTTGCTGGGATGTAAGACCCTCCTTGCTAAGACCCTCCTTGCTACCACCCTTCTCCAGGCCTAGTGGGCTCGCTCCCCGGGAGCCCCACGCTTCGCCCCTCCCCCAGCCTCATCACACTGCCTTGGCCTCGGTGACTCTGAACGCCCGTTCTGCCACCAGGCTGTCAAAGGGGGCGGTGGGGGGGCTGGGGGCAGGTCCATGGTGTTTGCTGTTGCACTTGAATACAGCACAGTGGCCCTCACGGTGTTTCAGTGTTACTAGAATGAATGAATGATGAGTCGGAGGGCTGGCCCTGGTCCTGCAGCCGTGGTCCTCAGGGGACCTCCAGAGAGTTTCCCTAAGCCTCTCTCTCGGTTTCCTTCGCAGTCTCCTCCCTGTCTCCCCTCTTTTCTCTTTTCTGTTCTTTCAGATTCGGTTTCAGTTTCTTCTCTCAGATTCACAGAAAGATAAGTCAGCCGGAGCAGGGGCGGGGCCCGGAGGGGGCGGGGCCCAGGAGGGGCGGGCCGGAGGAGGGGGCGGGGCCAGGAGAAGGGGCGTGGCCCGGAGGAGCTTCTCAGGTCTCGCTGCGGCTGAGACAAACGGAGCTGTCCGCAAGCAGCTCTGCTGGTGCCCCGCGCTTCCCCGAGGAGCGGGGCGCTGCGGGGAGGAGGGGGCCCTGCGAGAAGAGGGGGACGCCTGATGGCCGGGCAGCCCGGAGCCACAGAGATAATGTGCCCACGCCTGTGGCCATCTGGCCAGCCCAGCGCCCCCTCCCTCCAGCCCCGAGGGCCAGTCCAGGGCCAGGTGTCATTCGCCCTGCTTCGTTTTCTTCTCTATGGTTGTGACATAGACCAGCGCTCCTCGAAGGATTGCCCCGGTACCAGCGGCATTGGGAGAAGAAGGAAGAGCAGGAAACATGTCTGTGTCGGAGGGACAGGTGTGGCAATGCCCAAATCCTGTTCCCTCTCCCTCCTGTCTGCTTAGCTAGACCACATTTCCCAGCCTGCCTTGCAGTTAAGTGTGGCCACAGGCCCGAGATCTGCCCGTAGAACGTGGGAGGAAGTGATGGACACCGTTCCCTGGCCTGGGTCCTGGGAAAGCTGGCTGGCAGTCCCCTCCACTCTCTCTGACACACAGGGTCCGGTGGAAGCTCAAGGCCCGCGTGACGGCGGGGTAACTTGGTGGCCGGGGACAGCTGGCCTGCTTTGGCCAGCCGTGATGGGAGGGAGGAAAACGCTTGGCTTGTGGTACGCCAGGGTCACCATAGGTGTTCATGCAGCAGTTAGCCCGTTCCAGTGGAACGTGGGCCATCTACCCAGCTCCATGCTCTGACCTGCTGTGCTAATGAGTGTCTGAGACTCCCAGGGACTTGTAAATGAGACCTTATTTGGAAGTCGCGTCTTTGCAGATATCAAGTTAAGGCTCTTGAGATGAGATCCTCCCGGGTTAGGAAGCGCTTTTTAATCCGATGCTCCGATGTCTTTCAAAGACAAAGGAGAAGGAGGTTTGACATAAGGAGACACAGAGAACACTAGGTGAAGATGGAGGCAGAGAGCAGAGCGATGCAGCTGCCCGCCCAGGAACGGGGAGAGGCGCTGGAGCCTCCGGCAGCGGGGTCAGCCTGGCACGGCTCCCCCTCAGAGCTCCGCGAGGAGCCAACCCCGCCGACGCCTCCATGTCGGACTTCTGACCTCCGGACTGCGAGCGAGCAAACTTCTGTTGTCTTAAGCCACCCTGTTTGTGGCACGTCGTTACGGCCGCCCCCAGGCACTCATACACTGGGGACACCCCAAACCTGGCTTTTGGGTCAGTTCTGACGTGATAAAAGAGAAGATCCCACTCAGGCTGTGAGCACGTGCACGCATGCAAGAAACGCATCGGACGTTCAGGAAAAGCTTCGAATATTCGCCTTATGGAACAGATAATAAGTATCAGACTTTATTTTTCTCAGATTTCCTTTTCACCGCAGTATTTACAATTTGAAGAGACTCGCCGCTTCTCCTCAGTTCTGCTACTGTCTGTGCTTGTGACTTAACTCGCAAAACAAGGAGGAAAAGCTGAATTTAAAAAAACAATCAGTTGCATTTCTATAGACTAACAGTGAATAATCCGAAAAGAAAATTAATACGACAGCCACATCTGCGATAGCCTCTGGAGGAATAAAATACTTAGGAATTGACCAAGGAAAGGAAAGACTTGTACAGTGAAAACTACAAAAAAAAATTGCTTAGAGAAATTAAAATAGACATAAGTAAATGGAAAGGCAATATTGTCGTGGACTGGAAGACTTAATATTGTCAGAACACAAATACTATCCAAAGCGATCTATAGATTTAATGCAATTCCTAGCAAAGTCCCAGTGATATTTATTTGCAGAGATATATGTAACAACAACAACAACAAAATCCTAAAGTTCACGTGGCATCTTAAGGGACCCCAGAACAATCCTGACAAAGAACAAAGCTGAAGGACTCACACTTCCTGATTTCAAAACACTCCAGAGCTACACTCATCAAAACGGTGTGGGGCCGGCATACAGACAGACATACAGACCAATGGAACAGGACTGGAGCCTGGAAATAAACCCTCATACGTACGGTCAAATGTTTTTTGACGAGGGTGCCCAGGCCTACGGGGAAAGGACGGTGTTTTCGACAAGCGGGTCTGGGGAAACGGAATATCCACATGCAAAAGAATGAAATTAGACTCCTACCTAACACCATATGCAAAAATTGATCCAAAAAGTATCAAAGAACCAAACATAAGAGTCGGCCGGAAGATCTTCAGGAGCGAGGGCTGATCTACAGACCCAAAGACAAAGGGTAAACGAGGTCTTGGATGGAGGGAGAGATTGTCGGCATTTCTGAACACCTGCTTTGGGACGGGCAGTTTGCAGAAATGGTTTCGCCTAATCTTCCTAAAGTTCCTGTGAGGTAGGTATTGCTTGGCACGAAGAAAATAAAATTAACCATAATCCTCCAATCTAGAGATTAACACTGGTCTGAAGCTCCCTATTTTTTCTGAAAAAAATGTTTTTCCTTATTAAATTGCCCTTCAAGACTTAACATAATGGGAAACAGGAAACCAGCGAAACAGTACAAATTAAAAATGGTATCATTCAGACCCGTTTCTCCAGGGGAGCGGGGGTGGGAAACACAGTCACAGCAGGTGGCATGGCCAAATTCACCTGAAAGTGACCAGCTCAGGGACACCGTCCCAAATGACCGAAGTCTGGATTTAAGCCGTAGGCTCAGGTAATCGCCACCATTCATTTCTTCAATGACAGATCACTTTGCCGAGTGGTGACTATGCGCCAGGCGAGGCTCCGGAAATACAAAAGAAGAATTTAATACCGCCTCCCTCCTCCGGTGTCTCGTACTGCGATGCGTCAGGGGAGACAAATTAACGAAGAACGAGGACCGTGTTTAAGAGCGCCGTCCAGGGACTGGAGAGCCACCTCCTCAGGGAGGTGGAGGGGACAGCTCGCAGAGCATGTGGACTTCAGATGTGGATTCTGGAGCTGACTGCGGTACAGTGCAGCGTGGAGATGAACACAGTGGAGGAGGCTGGCCAAACCGGGAGGGGCTGGCACCCCTCCCCACCCCCCACCCCCC